TGAATTAAAATTTATTAATAAATTCTATTAAAAAATAAAAAAGCAATATCATAAATCAAATTATTTGCTCCATCAAAATTTATCAAAATTCCTCTCATTCCTTTTTCGTATCAAATAACCTCGATCGCGATACAATAATACACTCAACTTGAGAATCAAGCACGTATTAATACATCCATTAGTAGATCGTATACGAAAATTCGAATCCTGTCCTCGTATCCCGAAACGGTGCAACTTTACACCGTAAACTATTCGCGAAATAGGTACGCAACAAAGGCAATAGAGATACATTCACCAATACAAACCTCGTCTCGAACAATTAGAATTGTTAGAAATGCAATAAACACGCGCCTAGAGTGGCCATTTGCGTTTCCAACGCTGAGAATCGCCGAGTCAACTTCTGTCCACGATTGCTTCGATATCCAAAGGTGCTTGTGCAAAAGCATCGAGATATATCAATTGGGACAAAGTATTTGTTGTATCGTTTGATGTATTTGCAATATTTGCAATGCGATAAGATTGCTAATTAAAGAATTATACAAATAGGTTATTGATTTGATGAAAATTATTATGCTACAATGTTCTGCCGAATGATTGTTCGTTTATTCATGGAACAAGTTTTTTCATTAAATTGGATATAATTGGCGTAATATATATAGAATATATTTTAAAAATAAATATTTGGAGGATTTATCGTTATTCGAAATTCGATTTTACAGATGCTGTTCGAATTTCATTATCCAATTGAATATAATCTTTTATCCTTAATATCTATTAAATTCTAATATTATAAGTTTATCTGGTTAAATTGATCCTAATCGATACTAAAATCATCTCATCTCAAAACAATTGTACGATCTCAGGATGTTTAATCTCTTCTAATCTCGAAACAATTTCATTAGACGACAATTGGGCAGAGATTATTGGTCGATCGATCGGAGAAACAAAGTTGGAAAGCACAGGTTTCTAAATGGCAAATCCTACGAGCGTCGCGAATTGAATACCGATAACAACGTTGTGCGCGCGACATTGAATGTGCCCGTTACAACAATAAGTGAAAATTCCAGACTAGATAATGTCATACACGCGTCTCGATACAGATGTATTTGCGACCATGTCCTTCAACAGTTCGTGGACAAACGCGGGGGACAGATCCATGGGTTCCTCCCCGTACATCCCCCGTATACCCCGGTATGCGACCAATTCAGTCTACGTCGGCGTGTTTCGAAGTCTTATTTATAGCGTGAGGTGCGCTTCACCGTCACCGTGAAACTGTTCCCACTCCTCGGCTACGTGCAAGTTTCGCTGGCGCAGGTAGATTACCTTGGAAAGTTTGGAATCGCTTAGGTATTTCCGAGAAATTGTAGAATTTAAGGGAGGCAAGTCGGATTACAGATATTTTTGGCGAGGAAATAATTTCGCAGTGGATTTGGATTTTTCTTTTTTATAGCCGCGAAATTGATAATAGAGTGGACTCATCGGATGTTTATATATCGAATAGAGAATTTGGTTTAATTTAGGCGTTTTTAGAATTGAGGAGGAGAATTTTTTCAGATCAATTTTTATGTATATGTTTTTTTTCGGTATTGTTAATTATTAATTGTTCAGAATAATTTGATATAATTTAGATATTCTGTAGAATTTAGAATTAGAATTTTTTGAAATTAGAAAATTTTTTTTCTATTGAATTTATTAAAATAAAATTCTGTAGAATTTAGGATTAAAATTTTTTAAAATCAATTTTTATGTATATTTCTTTCATTTTTTTTTTTTATGTATATTTCATTCAACTTTCAATTCTTGAAAATTTGATATAATTTAAGTATTCTATAGAATTTAGAATGAGAATTTTTTAAAATTATTTCAGAACATTTTTTTTTTATAAAATTTATTAAAATAAAATTTTGTAGAATTTTTATGTATTATCAATTTTTATGTATATTTCTTTCATATTTAGTTAATAATTCTTCAGAAAATTTGATATAAAAGTAATCTTGATTTAGGTATTTTGTAGAATTTAAAATTAGAATTTTCTTAGAAATTTTTTTTTCTATAAAATTTATTGAAATGAGTAATATTGTTATTGAGTATAGAAAAATTAATTTAGAATTTAACATTCTATAGAATTTAGGATTAGAATTCTTTGAGATTAGAAAATTTTTTTGTATAAAATTTATTAAAATGTGTAATATTGATTATAGAAATAGAAAGTTTAGTATAACAGATATTTTGTAGAATTTAAAAGAAAAATTAGAATTCTGTAAATTAATTTTTTTATGTAGATTTTATTATAGTAAGTGATATTGCTATTGATTATATATAATATTAACTTATCTTATATTTGTGTCGAGTAAATTATTTATAAAAAGTTTGGAATCGTTTATTTTGTAGAATTTTGTAAAATAAGATTAAAATTCTATGAGATCGGAACATTTTTTTGTGAGAAATTTATTAAAATGAATAATATTATAATCATATGTAACATTAATTTTTTAAAAATTTTAGTGTAATTTAAATATTCTATAGAATCGTAGAATTGAGAAAGGAAATCAAATTAAAATTTTATAAATTTTATTCGTATAAATAATACAGCTATTTTAATCAAAATTAATAAAAGATTCAATGAAATTATAAAAAATGATAATATTGTCGATTGAAAGTTTGAATTATTAATATTTTACAGAATTCAAAAATTTATAATAATTTTTATTGTATAAAATCTGTTAAAGTAAATAAAATTATTATTAGTAATTGTAATATTAATTTCAAATTAATAACAAAATTAAAAATATATTCAAATACATAGCTGTGACTAGAAAATTATTGTGATTTCAAACATTTTATTGCCAATATACACATTTTATGTAGGAAGAATTTTAAATTTCCGAAATATAAATACATTGGATAAACGAAATAATGTGTATAATATAATGTAACGAAAAAGTTTATTTTTTCCTTTTATAATTTTTAGCAAAAAGAAACTGTCTCCAATAACGCGATACTTAAATTATTTTATTTTATTTTAGGACGAAGAAATTTGAATTAATAAATTTCGAATAATTTTTAAAGAAAATTTTCGTCTCAAACACATAATTTTACATAAATTATTATAATCGATAACATAATAAAAAGTAACAAAGGTGTCAATCAAAGACACAAAAGTTAATTAAAATTTCAAAACCCTTTCACCCCTTTGAAAAATCAATTTCACATTACCTTCTACACGCAAATTTTCAAAAAGTTTTTTTTCTCAAAAAACAATAATCTTACAACGTAACTAACTTCTTTCTTCTTCCATTCCATTATTCATTATCCAATAGTTCCAGAATTAAATATATATAATTTATATATAATCATAATTTAAAATTATATATAAAATATTTATATATAAAATATACTGTACAATAACAAAATTATTATACATTACTATATATAAATATATATAATATATAAATTATTATACATATTATTATTATATATAAATATATTATATATAAAATATTATTATATATAAAATATACTATATAATACTTTTCTATTCACCATTTTACTCGCTTAACGTGTCCAACGTCCATTGATTTATTCAACGCCAACATGTCAACATATGTCGACGAAGATTCTACAATCCAAAGTGTCGCATAAATTGCGAGAGATGCGTGAAGTAGGGTTCGCTCAAGCAGAAGTGTTTTCGCTACTTCCCTCGAAAACCTCGAAATCATCGTGGATCCGCCGCTTAAACGTGCAACGATTTAATTAACACTCGAGCCTCGTTGATTTGTTCCTCGTTTCGAATCGGTGCCAAGATCGGACGACAAGAAACTTCCACGTGGAATGGCGATGCAGACGCTCAACAGACGCGAACTTCTTCGACGAAACCTTTGTGTCTTCCCCGTAATGCATAATCTAGACGATTTAACCTCAATTTCGTTCGATTTGTTCCGGGTGATGTATCATTAATATTCTACGTGAAATATATTGCACCTTGGTAACTCGAATGGCAAGGTTAACGCAATGAAACATCTTTCGAAGGTCAATTCTAGATATCGAAACCTGATTTTTAGATTTAATAGTAGAATTATTAAATCTGTAAAATGATCAAAATATATATCTGTCAAAAATATTGAAATTGAAATCGATTCCATTTTTCAAAACAATAATTAAATCCTATGTAATAAAATTAAAATTGACTTGAATTCATATTCACATCGATATCAATTTCATTTCCATTTCCAATGCTAAATTAGAATATCAACGTTCTATTATGATCGATGCAATTAAATAAATATAAGAAATAAATATAAGAAATCGAACATCTTACTTTACTTCGAACTTAATTAATTAATAATTAATACTTGAAAAATGTATAATTTTAATGGTATTGCAAGTAAAATAATTTTATATATCGAGTATTTGAGTGACTAAAAGTATGTGTGCATTTATATGATGATTAACATGATTATAGTGCAATAATTGGAGAATGAGAGATCATCAGACAAAAAAGAGAAAAAATTTTTCTTTTAAAACATTAAAGTTATATTGAATTATATTGTTTATATTCGAAGTAAATATTCTGAATTATTTCCATTGTTTTTCTTTTTGCTGATTCTTTTAATTTTCTTCTATATTTTTTATTTCGATTTATTTAATTGCATCATAATAGAACGTTGATATTCTAATTTAGTATTGGAAATGGAAATGAAATTGATATGGTTATGAATTCAAGTCAATTTTAATTTCATTACATAGATTCTTCTTTATGTACAACGAGATAAAAATTTGAATGAGTTTGTTATAAAGATCTCTTCGAAATTTTTGAGAACAAATTTAAAAAAGAATAATCGTGACACAATGTGGATGGACCATATAAATTTTAACAAAGTTGATTTCTGATATTTTTTGATCTATCTTATTCTATAATTGATCTTAGATCGAGACTGAACGAGAAGATGAGTTGACGAGAATTAAGGAAGAAGTAGGAGTATTTCTGCCGAGTGTTTCAGAAAGTTGGAATAAAAGTTGCAAAGGTACATTAAAGAAAGAAGTAAAAGGGCACGATAAACGAGATAATGACGATAAATGATCATGTTGCTCGAGAACCGAGAGCACCATTAGTCAAAGCAGTTTTAGAAAAGTTTGTCAGGAGTGATCAGGTGAAATCTTTCTGTTACGTGTTTCGTTTGAAAACGATTGATGAATTATTAGAGAATTTATATACGTATATTAAAATTATATATCATTCGTATGATGATAAGTTATTAGAAGAATTACGAAGAAATGATTAATTTTTGGAAAAATTAAATTTACATATTCGTCAAGTGTAACTATTTTTCCACGATTCCAATGTTTTTTGAAACGAGAAAATTTTCTTCTATATTCTTTATTTCGATTTATTTAATTGCATCGATCATAATAGAACGTTGATATTTTAATTTAACATTGGAAATGGAAATGAAATTGATATCGATATGGATATGAATTGAAGTCAATTTTAATTTCATTACATAGGATTTAATTATTGTCTTGAAAAATGGAATCGATTTTAATTTCAATATTTTTGATAGATATATATTTTGATCATTTTACAGATTTAGTAATTCTACTATTAAATCTACTAAAAATCAGATTTCGATCTCTGGATAAAATAAAATTCATTCTAAAAAAAACTATGATTATTAAATTTAAAAAATTTGAGAAATCAAAATTTATTTATTTTTTTATAAAAAAGAATTAACCTCTTTATTAACATATTTTATAAACATTCTAAATTTTCTAGAATTCGAGATATCGCAATTTAGATTTCCTTAAATTTAAAAATAATTAAATTTTGAAAAATTCCAGAAATCAAAATTCTAAAATTTCTGTTAAAATTTTTTCTGCATATTATTTGCAAGCATTCAAATCCCAGATTCGACTTTCTTAAATTTAAAAATTATATTTTAAAAATAACTACCGTCGTTAAATTTTGAAAAATTTTAGAAATTTTAGAAATTATTGTAAGTATTCTAGATTTCAACTTCCTTAAATTTAAAAAAATCACTCTCAATCCATTATCGATGACACTTAAACGATCAAAAATAACTAAATTTTGAAAAATTCCAGAAATCAAAATTTTAAAATTTCTGTTAAAATTTTTGTTCTTTATATATTATTGTAAGCATTCTAAGTTTCAGATTCGACTTTCTTAAATTTAAAAATCATATTTTAAAAATAACTACCATCGTTAAATTTTGAAAAATTTTAGAAATTTTTCAAAAATTCATTAAAATTTTTCTTCACGTATTATTTCAAACATTTTAGATTTCGACTTTCTTAAATTTAAAAAAAATCACCAATTTCTAGCGATCTCTGAATAAAATTCGAAAATTCTCTCCAAGATTACCATCATCGATGACATTCGAGCGATCAAAAATAATTAAATTTTGAAAAATTCCAGAAATTAAAATTCTAAAATTTTTGTTCTTTACGTATTACTTCTAAATTTCGACTTCCTTAAATTTTAAATCACATTTCCAACGATCTCTGGATAAAATTCAAAAATTCTCTCCAATCTAAGATCACCATCATCGATGACACTCGATCATCGGTCTCGATCTTCGAACCCGAGAAAGGATCTATTAAAATCCCTCGATGGCCCCAGTTGGCCGAGAGATGGCGATCTCGATTCGTCCCTCGCGATTGGCCAACGATTTTTCTGGCACTGAATCTAAAATCATTCTCTCTTCCTGCGCCTCTCCCCTCCTCTCTCCCCTTCGTCCAAGAGGAAGAGAGGGCAAGGTGCATTGTGTTCTCGATGCCTCGTACTCCTTCGCCACTTCGTCCTCTCTCACAATCCTCTAAACTTAGCCTCTCCATCTTTATTTTTCCTCTGTCGCATCTGTACCCTCTTCTTCCTCTTCTCGCGTTAGGGCCACGCTGATTCGCGTTCCCTATCCTCTCGTTCGTTGATGATTCCACTTTGCACCCAGTCGCGTCTAACCTCTCGAACGAGCGAGATAAATCGATCTAAAAATCATTTCGAAGAATTTTGAAGTAGAAGTTTTCGAAAGTTTTCGAGTTCGAGAAAATTCGAGGTAAATCGTATTGGTGAGAATATCGTGGAGTCTCTTCTGTACTTTCGAAGGAATTTTTGGAAAATTTTTGCTAATTACTCGAATTCGAGTAAAATATCGTATCGGTGAGGAATTCTTAAAAATTTTTGAAAATTTTAATTCTAGTTAAACAAAAGTGATATCCTATTTCGAAGGATTTTTCAAAATTTTTGAAAGTTTCGAAATAAATTTTGAAGCAAATAATATACATTATTTCGAAATATAATATTTCGTGGCAAATAAAATTTCTAAAAATTTCCAAACAAGTATCTTTTACATTTACTTCGAGAAATTTCCATCCGAAAAATTTCTGAAAATTTTCAAACACTTTCCTATTTATGTCAAAAGATTTTCCAAAATCATCAAACGGTGTAACTTCCTTCGAAGTTGTTTCGAAAAATTTTGCCCAAATTTGCCGATAAATCGCATCTGAGATACACTGGAGGTTCCTCTCTATTTGCCCAAAGGCCAGCAAAGCCGTCAAAGAGAAGCCCGCCGACGACAGTGTGACAGTGTCGCGTCGCGGAGTGAAAAAGTGACAGAGCAACCTATCTAGCTAGGTGTAACGACCTTCCACGCTCGCGTACGCGCCGGGGGAAAGCGAGCAGAGACTTGTGCCGCTTGTTGACCGAGTGTCTTCAAGCCCAGCCTGGCAGAGGGCTTCCGGTCGTGAGTATACTTCTTCCTTCTTCGTGCTTCTCCTTCTCCCTCTCCTTTTTTTCTCTTTCTCTTTCTTCCTCTAGTTTTTGCTGCTTCCACTTTGTTGTTGTCACCTCCTTTTTACGTGACTTTTCTCTTCGCTTCTTCTCCATGTTTCCATTTCCTTTCCCCTCCTCTCTTAATTTCTCGCCACTTGAGAAAATGAGGGGGAAGGAAGCGGTTCCTTCGAAATTATTGTGATAAGTGTTTTTAACATTCGATGCGTTGGCTGAGAATATAATATTTAGTGTTTAATTGAAGCTAGTGTTAGATAGATTTAAAAGAAGAAGTAGAATATTTTATTTACTGTTCAATAAAATATTTTTATCTATTAATGCATAATGTGAGATTTAAGAGAAAAAAAAAAGTAGATAAATATATTTAGTTAGCAAATAAATTGTGAAGTATACAGATATTTGTTGATGCATGATAACTATATTAGATAAATTTAAGAAAAGAAGTAAATGAAGGAATTATTTTCAGACAAATTAATTAAAGAATACACATATAATTAAAGTATATATACTAGATATTAAACTTATATTTATGAAGAAAAAAAAAGAAATTGAGCTTAAATAAAAATTCTTCGAAGCATATTATACGTTTAATATTTTTCGTAAATTCGTAATATTTTTGCACATTTAAAAATATTGCATAAATGCATAAATAAGGCAATTTAATCGATGTATCCATAAAAATCGTAATCCGTGTTATCACATCGAATCGAATCGTCTTGGCAAAATAACTTGCCAGTTTCGAGAAATCATTAGGATAATCCTAGCTGAAATGTTCGCAATGACGATCGCAAAGGTGAACCAAGACCGCGGAGAGGAACGTAAGAGGAACGATAAATATTGCGGGGGCGTTACTGAAGAATTTACGGGGACGTAAGAAATCAAGGTGAAAGGAGGCGATAAGGAGAGAGGAAGGGAGGCATTGGAGGAGTGAAAAGGCTTTCCAGCAGCAGAGGCAGCAGCCGTCTTGAAGACACTCGGTCAACAAGAGGCGCGAGCCTAAGCCTTCCCTTCTTTTGACGACCGTGTCGCTGAGGACGATACTTTAAACTGCCACCAAGTCTCGCTTTTTACCATCACTTTCCAGACACTGTTCCGGTATTATCCTCTTGTTTAGAAGCCGAGTAAAATTTAATAGAGAATTATAGGTGAAAAATGTAAAATTTGGGATTTTTTGGATGAGCATTGAATGAGTTGTATTGGGAAGCTTTTGAGATTTTGTATTGGAAGGCTTTTGAGATGGAAAAAGAAAAGAGGAATTTGGAATTTTTATTTAATATTATAACATTGATGATTGAAAGAATTCTAAAAGAAATATAGAATTTGAATATAGAATTCTTGAATGACTTAATAAGTTAATAAGTTATATTGTAAAAAATGTAAAATTTGAATATAAAATTCTTGGTTGATTATTAATGATTATTAAATATACGAGTTACGTATGAAATTTGACATTGATTAGTAAGAAGAATCGTAAAATATATAAAAGTTAAATACGTATTGATATTGAATTGATAGTTATTTGAAAAATAGATTAAACAATCTTTTAATTCAATTCTTATAATCAAAATTTTACTATGAGTAATTTTTAAATTTTGTTGCTTTGTCAATTTAATTTAGGTTTTGAATTAGGATTGAAAATTAGTATAGCATTTTATATTGTATATCAATAGTCTGAAAATTTGGAAACATTTTTTTAATTGTAATTATATATTTTTAATTAAAATTATATAAGGATAAATTTATTCTTAATTTCCTGAATTTAATTTATATTTTTGTTAAATTAGTATCAAAATATAAAATTAGTATCAAAAGTTTTTAACACTCTTTTAAATGTAATTATATTATAATATAATTAAAAATAAATACTATAGAAATGAACAATCATCTCATCTTTTCGATCTAAATATTGCTTTTGTGTTAAATTAATATTAAAATGAAAAATTATATATATAAAATATGATAAAAAATGAAATCAACTATTTATTATTACTTTGTTTTTTCAAGTTAATTTACATCTTTGTCAAATTAATATTAAAATAGAAATTTATTATAATAAAAAATTTGAAACTATTTTTTTAACTGTACCTACTTAGAATCTTCTGCTAACATTAGTTAAAAATTATTTTTATACAAATCTATAATAATAATAATTCCATCTGTTGTTATCAATTAAAAATTTATATTATAAAGATATATATAATATCTTATAATAACCTTATTTGCATTAATAGAACTTTCATTAAAAAATTTTTTTAAATTCTAATTCTAATTCTTTTTTTGAATTTTTGAATTCAGATAATACATTAATTATTGAATAATCTTATATACCAAATGTCCAATTTTA